ACACTTCAGCAGTTAGGTCTGGGCACAGGCTTTATGAACATGAGCCTGAAAGCACAAGCAGCGAAAAAAAAATAAATAAAATGAAGAAACAAATGGGACAATATCAAACTAAAAAGTTTCTGCACAGCAAAGGAAACAATCAACAGAGTGAAATGACAACCTACAGAGTGGGAGGAAATTTTTGCTAACTATGCATCTGACAAGGGACTAATATCCAGAATATACATAGAACTCAAGCAATTATACAGTAAAAAAACAAACGACCCAATTTAAAAAATGGGCAAAGGAGCTGAATAGACATTTTTCAAAGGAAGACATACAAATGGCCAGATACATGAAAAAATGTTCAACATCACTAGTCATCAGGGAAATGCAAATCGAAACCACAATGAGACACCACCTCACTCCAGTCAGACTGGCTGTGATCAAAAAGAGGGTGAATAACAAATGGTGGCGAGGGTGTGGAGAGAAGGGAACACTACTGCACTGTTGGTGGGACTGTAAATTAGTACAACCACTTTGGAGGTTTCTCAAACAACTACAGATAGATCTTCCATATGATCCAGCAATCCCTCTTCTGGGTATATATCCAGAGGAATGGAAATCATCACGCCCAAGAGATACCTGCACTCCCATGTCTACTGCAGCTCTGTTTACAACAGCCAAGATACAGAACCAACCTAAATGTCCATTAATAGATGAGTGGATAAGGAAACTGTGGTATACATACACCACAGAATACTACTCTGCCATGAAAAAGAATTAAATACTCCCATCTGCAACAACATGGATGAACCTGGAGAAACTTATGTTGAGTGAAACAAGCAAAGCACAGAGGGATAAATGCCACATGTGCTCACTCATGTGTGTGAGCTAAGACAGAAAGAAGGAAGGAAAGAAAGACCACAGTGGTGCCGTGATCCCACAGAGGGAAGGAACATTCCTAGGGCTACGAATTGGAGTGGAGGGGATAGGGGGAGGGAGGTTGGGGGATAACTGGGAGGGGACAAAGGGTACAAAAGTAGTTTCTGATAACGGATATGCCCCCAGTATGAATCTGGTCCTCACATCATGGGCAGGAGGGGGGATAGTCAGCTCTGTATCTCCTGAATATATGTAATAAATAAATATAAAAACAAACAAACAAACCCTGTAATCCACCACATTATTACAAAAAATTCCAGGCAAACTGAATCAAACACTTCCTAGTAGCTGGGTGGTGGTGATGGGTCCCTTCTTTTAGTGAACAACTCACTGCTACAGCCTTAGTGTTTTGTCCCAAATCTCATCTTTAGACCTGAACCAAGTCAACATTTCATAAGGATCGTGCATTCCTTTCTTCTTTCCGTTACATCTCTTAAGACAGTGCTCTGCCCCCTAAAGAACCGAGAGTAATTTGTAAAGGTTTTCCTCTCTGGACACAGAACAGTCAAAAGCATAAATTAGATTAAGTGGCTTCATTTTCCACAGGCCTAAGCTTATAACCCAAGGCTTATGCACAGGGTGTGCTTAAATTGACTAAGTGAATCCAAATCAGCTCATGGAAAAGTTAAAAATGTAGTTTACTGAAAGATGTGTATCTTTACACAGAGCAATAGCAAACAATCCAATCTAAAAGTTTAAATCAGCATAAATAACTTTAAAACTAACGATTATATATAAAGCTGAAGTCACTGCCTTGGATAATTCATATACTGCATCTAATATTTTTATGTAGGACATTCATTCTTAAGGCAGAAGAACTGGACGTGTAACAACTTGGTTCTTACATCCAAGGGCCAAACTGGGAGTAGATCTGAGCAGACAGATTCCTTGCTAATGAGGATTTATCTGTGGTGACAATTTCATGTGTAGAGTATGTTACATAAGAGACATATATTTGAGAGAACATAAGAAGATGAATTTTAAGACACACAAGTACGATTTTTCAACAAGAGGTCAATGAGCCTAGGCATTCTATTATGGGGTGAAACTAGTCCCATAACAAATGAACAAACTCCAGCATACTTTCTGAGATGGTTCATAAAAAGTATGAAATATCAAAGAGTTACCTTTTTGAGGTGTGTTACCTTAGACTCTAGTTTTCAAGGTCTGGTATAAAAGGTAGCCTGAACGGTCAAAAGCAGTGAACATGTCAACTCACACTGTACTCGGAAGGCTACCGCTTGCAGCATTCCCTGTCCATCAAAAGAACCAAGACGTAGGAAAATAAAAATGAGGCCCCTCCCCCAACACATGTGCAAAAATATTTGTCAGTTACAAATGAGACTATCTTTAACAAAAAACATCTTAATTATAGGACAGAAGAATCAAAGCCAGACACATAAGAATGTGCCAGCCTGCCCAGGTGGATGGAGATTGGGGATGAAACCAACCGCTCTATGGGCACCTCGGGAGACGTGCTACTAAGAGTGCAAGCGCCAGGAGGAGCTGGCCCCAGGGTCCCCGTCCTTTGGCTGCGTGTGCACCTTCCCCGTAAGCTGGTTTGGTTCTCTGCATCCTGGTGCTGACAACATTAAGAAAAAAATAGGTCCAAAAGACAATTCGTGAGCAGGTGATGACCACAACTGTCTAAGAACCTTTTTGTGTGCCTATTAGTTATGCCACAGCTCTGGCAATTGTCAGGAGTATACAAAGATTGCCTGCCTCATTTTTGAAGATAGGAAGATTTTCTTCTTTCACCGTGGCAGGAGTCCATGCAAGATTTGTAAACAGTGATACAAAATACTGTAAACGTAACTTAACAGAGCTTGTATAAAACAGAAGTAAATCCAGATTTACAAGTGGGTTAAAAAAAACAGAGGGCAGCTTCATACAAAGTCCTCCCTCCTGTGCCAAGTGATTTTTTTGATTATAAATATAATCCTGAGCTGAAAAACTGGGATCTGGGGGAGAGCCATCGTTGCATACAAAATACCCCAAGGACGCTTACTCTGTTTCCTTTTCTCTAGTGATATTCAACTGCCTGAGACAGTTCTGGACGTGGGGCTGAGGCGACACTTATAGTTTAGTGTGGCGCCCGGGTCTGGGGCCCACTGCAGCGCTCGCCACGGGAGGGGACGCGGCGGCTTCGTCCGCTTCCTGCAGCTCGTCCTGGAGCCCCTGGCTGACGCTGGACTGCAGGGCGGCGGGAGTGAGCCACTCCTTCGGCAGGCAGCTCTGCAGGAAGGGGATGCAGGAGCTGAAGTAGGCCAGTCGGTTGATCCAGCGAGGAATCTCCTTCCCACAAAGAATCTACAGAGGAGGAAGAGTCCCGTATTAGCTACGAGAGGTTAAGGTTATCTGGTCCACTGCCAAGGAGTGGAGGGCAGGAGGCGGTGGTGGCTGCAGAGAAGCCACTGCGCACTGGCCTTCGGTGCTGCTACCCTAGGTTTTAACAAGCAGCTCCTTAACTCAGGAGCCGGGTCCCTATTGTCAGCTCGGCACCTTCCTCCTGAAGAAACTTGCCAGGTGCTTACTTCTCACCCCTGTAACAGTAGCTAATTCCACCGGGCTCCTTTCTTTCTTTCACCTTTGCAACTGCTTTGAAGCACACGTAAGAGACGCCTGGTACTACGATATTACTAGAGTAACAGAAGCCGCGGGCAGCTGGAACATCGATCTTATCTGTGAATTCTCCTTTTTCACTGATTCTTCTCTACTTTCCTCCAGCCTCCCTGTCACTCCACTTTTTTCCTGGCCTGCATTTCACCCCTTTGCTTCTGTTCCTGACTCACTTGTTTCAAGGAGCTCATACTTGTCCAGAAAGAAGTGTCTCCCCAGATGCAGACTTGGCCTTGTGACTCCTCTGTGGACGCAGGGCGACGGTCACACAAGGTGTGGAGCCTGGCCACGCTTCCGTCTCCAGACCCCAGCAGGGATGGAGACTGCTGAATTGCTGCCTCTGTCTGCCCACCTGCCACTGTCACAGTGTCCCTGGCACTCCCGAGCTCCTTGCCTCCCTTATTTCAAAGAGTAAAAACTGGGTCTTTTCTATCAGTAACTTCACTCTTCATCGTCCTCTTTCCCTTCCGCAGACAACACTGCACCTAAGTCCGTCCTCCACGGCCACTTTGGAGTTTTTGCGTCCAATCATGTCAAAGATTTAGATCATGTGATCTGAAAATGCCATCTTAGATACTGCGTATCTTAGTTAATGACTTTGGAAAGAGGTTTTCAAGTATCTCACATCCAAAAAATAGCTAAAATTTAAATAAGCTGGCATCCATAATTCTGCAACGTGACTTTTCTCTCTAAAGGTTTAACCCTACCACTCCTTAATGGTTACTATATTTACCTTAAATACTGTTTCTCTGTCTTAACTATAGGGAAAGTGAGATGGTCTCACCTGAGGGCAGGTAGCATGTTCTGACCGTTTCTGATTACCTGGGAGTACAGAGGCATAACAGGTACTTAAAAATATTTGGAGAACGTGTACATGAACTAGATCTGGGAGAAAGCTGAGAAACGACCCACACCATTCCCATCTATCTACTCTTAGGAACACCAGCAAACACATACCACACTATATTTTACACCTGAGACATATTTAGGGACATCTGTATATCTGGAGGTTAACCACACAAGTGGTGACTAAGAATACTCAGGTTAATGTGACAGCCACTGTTGCCTGTTCAACAGGCACTTCCCTCATTCCCCTTCCTGAGTCCTAATTTTATTTAGGAATCTTCCCTCCTCCATATATATCTCCACGTGCTACAGGTGAAGCCGACACCATCCCAACCCCTGGGGTGCGGCTTCACTAGCCTAAATCGGAGTTCTGTAATCCACAGCCACCTGTTTCTGTAAATAAAGTCTTACTGGAACATAGCTATGCTTATTCATTTTCGTACTGCCTGCAGCTCTTGGGCCACAGTGGTGGGGGTAGAGTTAAATCCATAAACAGTCCACAAGCCTAAAATATTTACTGTCTGTCTCTTTCAAAAAAAATGTTCCAACCCTTGGTCACACCAATGTTTTTAAAACATTAAGACCCATTAGTAGGTCATTTAGCATTGCAACCTAAATTTAAAAAATGAAACGGACTGCAGGTAGTAACTGTGACGCTTGTCATAGTTATGTGCATGTCGTACATAAACTGGGTCACAACATATAATGTATTTCTTACTGTGGCTGGTGGTCAAATAGTATTTGGTTTACATAGTAAAACTTAAGCTTCAATCATTTAAGTTTCAATCCAGCAATCCCGCTTCTAGGAATCTATCCCGGAGACACACTGACAAAAATACGAAGCTGTATGTACAGGTTTATTCATTATAGCACTTTTTGTAACAGCAAAAGACTAAAAATAGCATAAATGCCATTAATAGAAAACTGGTTGGGTAAATTATGATACATCCACACAAGGAAGACAATTCACCTGAGAAAAGAAATGAGGAATGTCTCTCCATATGGCCACAGAATGGACTTAGGATACATTGTTAAGTGAAAAAAGCAGAGTGCAGAAAGGGCACAGAATAACAGTTACAGACATTTCCAGTCCAAAAGGGAGAAAATGGAAGAAACAAAAGAGTTACTAGTCCCAAGCAATTTCAAAATCTGACTGGACAATCCCCATCAGGTTTCCAGTCCTGGGAATAATCTTCTGTAGTCCTCGGCTCTGCCCTCCGGGCCCTTGATTCTGCACTTGGAGTCGTCCTTCCTTTTTCTCCAGCCTATTTCTTGTCTGGAGAATTTTAAGAGACCAAGAGCCAGCATTCATTTTGTCTTGGTACAAGCTGGCAGTGCTTCTGCTAAATATAACATTTTCAGAAATGTTGTGGGTCTCTAGTGTATGTCAGGGGATTGACTCCATTATATAAGAGGTTCCTCCACAGATCTTTCCTAGGTAATCCAGTCTCTACTCCTGGTTTCTGCTGAGAGGTCTGAGAGGATCCATGAGTCAAATATTTAATCTCTTCAGCAGTAGCACAAGGAGGTCCCACCATACCACTGGCCTTTTCTCTATAGCATCCTTTCCTAACAGTGAAGTTCCTAATTATAGCATCTTTTGCAATCTAGATAGGCTGAGAAATTCCCAAATCATCAAGTGTTGATTCCTTTTTTTGCTCAACAGTTTTTCCCTCAATTTATTGTTCTTCTCACATTTTATTATAAGCAACAAAAAGAAAGCAGGTTGCATCTTCTACACTTTGCTTGGAAATCTCCTCAGCTGAATATCCAAGTTAAATGCTTACAAGTTCTTTCTGCATAACTGCATGACACAATTCAGCTAAGCTTTCTGCCACAACACAACAAGGATCCTTTTTTGTCCAGTTTCTAATAACACGTTCTTCATTTCTTTCCGAGCCCTGACAAGCACCTTTAAAATCAATACTTCTAGTGACAGTCTGTCTCTTCAAGGTGATCTAGTCAAACCCCTCAAAATTGCTCCAGCCTTTATCTATCTCCTAACTCCACATCCACTTCCACATCTGTAGGTGTTTGTTACAGCAGCACCCTACTTCCAGGTACCAACGTCTGTATTGGCTTCCTATGGTCATTGTAATGAATTACCAGAAACTTGGTGGCTTAAAATACCAACATTTATATTCTTTTACATTTCTAGAGGCCAAAGAAGTAGAGGAGAGTGAAACAGAGGCTAGACTTCCATGAAAATACTTTGTTTTTATTTTTTAGATTTGACTTTGGAACCATGAAAAGATTTTTTTTTTTTTTTTTGGTCTTTTGTCTTTTTCCGTGTCCGGCAACGGATCGCATACCAACGTCTGTATTGGCTTCCTATGGTCATTGTAATGAATTACCAGAAACTTGGTGGCTTAAAATACCAACATTTATATTCTTTTACATTTCTAGAGGCCAAAGAAGTAGAGGAGAGTGAAACAGAGGCTAGACTTCCATGAAAATACTTTGTTTTTATTTTTTAGATTTGACTTTGGAACCATGAAAAGATTTTATGTAAGTATAAAACAAAATTAAACTAAACAACAAGCAATCTCTTAAAAAAAACCAAAAAGATAAATGAAACAAAGAAACCTGTGTACTGAGTTGGTGGCATAACCGCAGAGAAAGAAATTATCCCAGTTAACTGTGAAACACATAAATTTTAGACTCTATCTCTCTACTAAGCCATACTCTAAAGACATAAAGAACTACAAATACCCTTCAACGTTCCAGTAATCATATTGCCAGTGGTAGTGGTTCTAAAGCTATCTCTAAAGCTGTTTTAGGTATAGAGGAGTAAAACAAATGAGCAATTATGCTGCTGTTGAGAACTGGAATTTCTGACCTGAAATAGAGACAATATAGACATACTATTAACGAGGTCAGGTTAAAAACCTTGTAGCCTGAATTTGTAGTAGAAACACCACAGGAATATGTAAAAAAGCCCCTCTGTCTATTGGAAGATAAGAAAATCTAGAAACAATTACAATTCAGTAGTAATGAGCAACCCTAATGCCCAGTTTAAGGTTTCTAAATATTTCCTATTAGGTAAGAAGAAAACAGTATAGATGAGCGTGGAACATACTGCCATACCAGAAAACCAAACGGCTATCAAAGATTATTAGGGCCAAATGGAAGGCTCAGAAGCAACCTGAAGAGGCTCGCACTGATCACAGATGGGACAAGAACAGTAGCCGCACGGAACTGAGCATAGAAAATGTTCTCAAGTCTGGCAGGAGGGGAAATTCATGACACTCAATTTTCAAAAAAACAAAGAAATAAAAATAAAAATAATTGGTTACCTTTGGAGAATGCTAGGAACTGTGCCAGGGGGCCGCAAGACCACCCCAGGTTTGATGAGTTGCCAACAGAACTCACAGGACTGGGCATACAGACGTGTTCACAGCTACGATTCGTTACAGAGAAAGGAGATAAGGGAAAAGGCGTATGGGGTGAACTCTGGAGAAAACCAGGTTTCCACTCCAGTCTGAAAATTAGCTGAGTCTTTGTTTCAGAGGGACTACTTGAAGGCACTCAGTTCTAGTTTTGTTTGTCCATGACACCAGGTTATCAGCCTCCCGAGTGTGGATGACATCTGCGGCTGTTCTGGTGTGGGCAGTGCAGGAGCTGAGGCCACCCCCTGGGGTCTCACAGTTGGCATTGTCAGGTGTGAACACAGGCTCAGCAGCCCATTTGAATTCAAAGTGCTTGCAGCAGCCTAACAGACAGCACGGTTAGTTTTTCTTTAGGAAGAAGAGAGAGGCAAAGATTAGTCTTTTTCCTCCTCTGAGCCTCCGCAGGTGATAGTTTTGTTTTTTACTGTTGTTACAGAATCTGTATGCCCCATATAG